CTGTTTGGGGGATCCAGTTCTAAGTTTTCCAGAAGGGTATCTGATTTCTACTGCGGAATTCTAGAGGAAAATTAAACTGTTTAATCTTCCTCTTGAAGATGATCACTGGGTGATCGAAACACGTGTTGAAATGTTAAAAATAACGGTTTGGTTTTGAGATAAAACTCCAATAATATTCCTTATTGCACCAAACGTTCCAAACTGTGCATCACAAATACAATATGAATATGTTCAACTTTTGATTCCAGACTGCGAGTTGCCTGTACAAATACCAGGACCAGACGGAGACATATGTCTGGCCGAAATTCCAGTTTTTACCTGGAGTAATTTGGAAAAAAAATGTGTACCGGATTTCTTTGGAGGATGTCACGAAACCAACAACATGTTCCGTAAAGAGGAAGACTGTGAAAAAATTGCCAAACCCATTTGTCTGCAATAAACACATGAACAAATATTGAATGTATTTACTGTAGAATAGCACCAAAAGTTGTGAATTAAATTCGTTTACAAAAAGGTTATAAAATAGCCTTGCATTTATCGATAGTACCATTGAGAAAAATGCATATATAATTGAAAAAGAAATATCCTGTAACATTTCATTTTATACTGATTGCAAGACAATCTGAACTCAAAGAAACCCCTTTTTACAATTTTGAATCGTAGATTGTAATATACCAATTATTTAAAAGTTCTTTGGGATACTTCTGAGCAGTCTACCTAGTACTACAAATGAATTATAATCAGAATGCTTACACCTATTCAAGGTCTATATTGTTCATTTTGATTATTTTCATTCACGTTATGGTTAGGTATATAAATAGACTTCAACTAGTACTCTTCTTCTTTTGTTAAGTCGTAGAGTTGTTTTTTTTTACGATCAACGTAAGGTAAAGAAAGAGATATCTACTTTTAGTAATGTCACACTTAGAATCGGTGTATACGTCTGTAGGGACGGGTGTAACAGGTGGTAGCATATCCTGTACTTTACTTGTTTCATCTTGATTTCTTTCAGGTTGGAGCCTAGATCCCTTACCCTTTATACTAGTTAGCCTGTACTTTGAACCGATACCGATTCAATGTGTGAAGGATGAAATTTTGAAAGTGTCTTTTCTGTGTCTGTATAGGACATTCTTCAAGAATTTGATATCTTTTTTCCTAGTATCCAAAAATTTCATCAGTTTCATCAATTTTCTCGATGTTATGTTTTAGGTAGAAATTTCAACCACCCTGTAAATTATTTTCGAAAATTCGATGGACCTGTTCATGACTTGATGCCTGAGGTGTGATTCTGTGAAATTTCACATTTTCAACTGTTACTGTCTATGAGTTATGATTTTCTGTTATGAAAACTAACAAATTTGGG